CCCCCCCCCGGCCACAGGACACCAACCAGCTCGTTTTCAAAGTCGTGCTGCCCTGAGGAAGAGGTGGACGACAGCCTCCGGAATCTGGACCCACTGGAGACACGGAAGGTGAAGTGAGAGGCAGGCCGAGGAGGCGTGAAAGATGCGGCCCGGCACCTGGCTCGCCTCGGGAGAGAGGGTCGCAGTCCCCAGCCCTCCATGCGGAGACACACAGGAATCACGGTGCAAGGCCCCGTGGACACTGCCCATTCCCGGGAAGGGACTGAGACTGTGCTGGATGGACAGAGGCCATGGGGCCGGCACGGAGGGCCTCCCCCTCCCCCGCCCGCCCCCCCACCCTCGGGCCCAGCCCCCGTCTCTCCTGAGGTGGCTTCACAGTGCTGCCCGGTGCCCCGACGTGGGGCAGGGGACCCCAGCAAAGAGGGTGCACAGATGAACATGGACGAAGAGTCTGCTCGCACGCATGGAAACAACAGAGAAATCGCCCACAGCAGGGGGCGTGGGCGGGGAGAGCGTCGGGGTGAGGCTGGCGGGGGCGGGGAGAGCGTCAGGGGTGAGGCTGGCGGGGTACACTGTGTCACGTGCAGAAACGGCACAGGACCTCGTCAGCAGGAACAGCGGCTCTCCAAACGCAGCAGGTAAAATCTAGAATAAACACTGCGCCTTCTGCCACCAAGGTGTGTCACTGGAGTGAGGCCACTTAAACATGACACCGACAGCCGCACTGTACCGAACCCACGGCCGCCCTGGTTACCTGTACCGAACCCACGGCCGCCCTGGTTACGGGGCGCGGGGTGAGTGGATGAACATGGAAGACGCCACGCCGCTGCTATGACTGGGTGTCGCAGCAGCGTCTCAGAGCGGAGGGCTGAGGACCGCTGCGCACAGCTCCCCAGCCAGGTCCCTGCCTCCACTCCCCCCAAAACACCCGGCATGCCGTGGACGGGATGCCGACCTCCTCGCCGACCCCGGCCTCAGCATGCCACGCCGACCCCGGCCTCAGCATGCCGCGCCGACCCCGGCCTCAGCATGCCGCGCCGACCCCGGCCTCAGCATGTCGCGCCGACCCCGGCCTCAGCATGCCGTGCCGACCCCGGCCTCAGCATGCCGTGCTGACCCCGGCCTCAGCATGCCGCGCTGACCCCGGCCTCGTGCTGACCCCGGCCTCAGCATGCCGTGGACAGAGGCCTGCAGGGTGCCGACCTCCACGCTGACCCCCCCCAGCGTGTCGTGGACGGGATGCTGACCTCCACGCTGACCCCCCCCAGCGTGTCGTGGACGGGATGCCGACCTCCACGCTGACCCCCCCCAGCGTGTCGTGGACGGGATGCCGGCCTCCACGCTGACCCCGGCCCCTGCCCACAAAAGCATGTGGTAAGGAGCCATGTGGCTGACCGCTCAGTGGCGGGGAGCGAGGGCGGGAGGCAGGCCGCTGGCGGGGGGCGGGCCCAGCTGTCCACACGGCCGCCCACCTCGGCTGACGGCACCATGAGCGCACATGGAGCACACGGGTCCCCGCAGCGGGTCCGGGCATCGCCATGCCAGGCAAGGAAGGGAAACGGCTGGCCGAGCAGGAGGGGTGGCCTCCTGCCAGGCCCAGTGGCTGCCAAGCACCCAGCCAGGGCACCCACTGCATCATGGGAGGCTCCAGCCTGAACTTCCTGTGTCTGTCTGTACCTGCCACGGAGCCAGGGCAGGCTGCAGCACCCACGGGGGCTGGACAGTCCAGTTCTAGACCAATCTCCACCCTTCAGGAGAGGGCAGAGCTGGAGCCGGGACGTGGCTGCGAATCCCGAGGTCCAGCCCGGCCCGTGTCTTGGAACAGGCTTGCGCACAGCCGGCATTGGCCTGGGAAGAGGGCAGGCAGCTTCCCCAAGTCCCCGCCGCCCCCCTGCCAGAGCCCACCGAGGACCGAGCGGGCGAGCGGGCCGAGTTCCTGCATCTGCTGAGGAGCAGGGACATAGCTGCAGGCAGACCTGACACAGATGCAGAGCTAAAGCCCCGCCCACGCCAGCGACCTCGCACGCGTGTACGTGAACACACGCATGTGCACTCTCATGGCCACACACGCATTCCTGCACACTCACCCCCACGTATTTTCTGTCTAGCTTTTGTTACCTATCTGCTTCAGACACCAGGGCAATGCGGCCATAATCCCAGAATCTTCTTCGTATGATGGAAAACACCAAGATGAGAAACTAAAAGTAGAAGAGAAACCAAGTAAAAGCCCCAGATGGCTTTGTGGCTCCCGGGCCAGGCAGGGTTAGAAGGAAACGGCCCAGTGGCTGGCCCCGGCCGCACAGAGCCCACCTGCCCACCTGCCCCAGCTCCGTGTACCTGCACCCGGAGCCAGGCTGACACAAGCCCCAGCCACTACCGCCACCAGCACCACGCAGGCCAGGCTGCAGCCTCCTAGCTCGGCACCCGACCCTGCCCCTCGCTCTCAGGCAGCAATGTAGATGCCAGGCCCCGACCTTGGCACGGACCGGCTCCCGTGGCCCCAGCAGAAAGCCAGAGCCTGGAACTTCCTCCTTCCTGTGGAGAGCCTCGCGCTGGTCTAGCGGCCAGGTCTCAGTAGGTTGCCCATCTGGTCGGGAACTCCTGGGCTCAAGCAATCCCCCTCCCTCAGCCTCCTAGGTAGCCAAGACCGCTGTCGTACTATTGCAGGCAGGTGCGCCCGGGCCGGAGCCACCTCAGGCCTTCTCACTTATTTGCGTGAAGGAAGTCTTTTATGCCCAGGCCAGCCCGAGCCAAGAGCCTCTCCCTTACACAGCCTGGGTAGCTGAGGTCACGGGCATGTGCCACACACCAGCTTTTTACTGGGTAGATGTGTCTGGGCTGGCCTTGAACTGCCATGCTCCGGATCACACCCAGGGTGAGACCCCGCGCCCGGCAGAGCCAAGGCCCAGGGCAGAGAGGCCTAGATTCCGCATCAAGTGCGGCTCTCTGAAGGCAGGCCTGCAGACCCCAGCACGAAACACGTGTGGAGCAAAGCCAGGTGGTCTGGCACTCCAGGCTGGCTCGGCCTCTGCTGGGACAGACGGACAGATGGATAGATGGGCAGGGGCTCAGGAGTCCCCGGCTTTGCCAGCATCAGATTCCTGTGCATTCTGGCTCCAATCTGGCAGGTTCTGACCCCCGCCTCCCCCCTCCTAGACAGACCCTCCGTGAGAACAGGAGCTGGGGACCTGGCTCGGCGGCAAACCCGCCGCTCCGGGCAGAAGCTGGGCTCTCACTGGGTTGATTTCTGTGGTGCTGAGGATGAGCCCAGAGCCTTGAACGTCCTGAGCCACGCCCAGACACAAAGCAGAGACTTAAAGGGCCCAGGTGGTCCCCAGAGAATGCGGCCAGGAGGCGGGAAGTGGGTCACACAGGGCAGGCTGCCCTCCGCAGCCGCTGCCCCTCTGCCTGGTCTGGGCATGTGCAGGGTGCACACGTCCCCGTGCCCGTGTCTGCCCAGGCCCCGGCCTCGCATGCACCTGACTCACACAGTCTTCTGCAATAAAGTCCACACCCAGAAGACTGAGGCCCAGCTCAGAAATAGCACACATGCTTGGGACCTGTGAGACCGTGGGTTCCATTCCCCGTACACGTACGCGTGCGCATGCGCACACACACACGCACGCACACACACACACGCACACACATACGCGCACACACGCGCGCACGCACACACACACACACACACTCCATGAGGCCCAGCGTGGTGGCATACACCAATAGTCCCAGCTACTAGAGTACCTAAAGAATGTAACTTGAGGCCAGGCACTGGTGGCTCACGCCTGTCATCCTAGCTACTCAGGAGGCTGAGATCTGAGGATCGCAGTTCAAAACAAGCCTGGGCAGAACAGTCTATGAGACTCATCTCCAATGAACCACCAGAAAACTGCAAGTGGTGCCGTGGCTCAAAGTGGTAGAGTGCTAACCTTGTGCAAAAAGAGCTCGGGGATAGTGCCTGGGCCCTGAGTTCAAGCTCCAGGACTGACAGAACAAGAAAAGAATATAACAAGCTCAGGAGTAACACAGACCACACAGACGCTGCTCTTCATGGAAAAAATCTACCTCAAGGCTAGGTTATGGTAGCTCACACCTACACCTAGCTACTCAGAGGCGGAGACCTGAGGCTCACAGGGTGAAGCCAGTGCCAGCAAACAAGTCCGTGAGACGCTCATCTCTACTCAGCCAGCAAAACGCCTTAAACAGAGCTGTGACTCAAGTGGTAGAATGCCAGCATGGAGCAAAAGCCGAGGGAGAGGGGTCAGCGCAAACGCCAGCACGGAGCAAAAGCCGAGGGAGAGGGGCCAGCGCAAGCCTTGGTACTGGCAGAAAATAATCACAATAACCACAATAATGTGATGAGTCTCAAAAACAATATAGAAAGGAGAACTGGCTCTAGATTCCTGTGGACAAGTTTGGGGCAGAAAACGTGGGCTGGGACCCTCCCTGCAGCTCCAACAGGGCCCAGTCGGCAGGTGTCTGCAGAGAGGGGGTGCAGATACCCCACTGAGCGCCGATGACTGGGCTGACCCGTCGCTCAGTGGGAGAGCGTTTGCCTTGCACGCAAGAGCTCCGAGTTCAAGACCCATACCATTAAAAAAAAAAAAAAAAAAGCACCTCCCTGTGGCACCCGCAAGGCCAAGCAGCGCAGCTCCTCACACCGACCCAGGGAGCGGACCCCAGATGAGGCTGTGGCGCCACAGAGCCCTGCGCCCCGGAGGACGGGCCTCCGCCCTCCTCATCCCGGCATGCCCTCCCCAAGGACAGGCGGACACGCGGGCCGGGCTCTGCGGCCAGCCGCGGTCAGCGCGGTCCTCACAGGGATGGCCCATCCAGGTCCGCCCCACAGTACAGTGTCTCCCGACTCGGGCCTGAGTCCGGGACGCAGGGCTGGGAGGGCCCGGCCCGGAGTCTCACCAGGAAGCAGCTGACGTCGATGAGCAGGACGGTGGGGACGCCCCCGAAGGTGACTCCCTGGAGCACGGTGCTGTTCTTGGCGGAGTTGTAGCAGTAGGAGTCGTTGGGGCGGCGCCCGAGGCCCAGCTGCTCACGGACGGACGCCGCCCTGGACGACCACCACTCGGGGAACCGGGAGCCGCTCATCGCGGGCAGGCCCTGTGGACGGGGAGGACGGGGGGCGGGGCGTGAGCTCTCCCCAGCTGGCCTGCCAGTGAGGGCGGCGTGAGGGGGCAGCCCGGACACAGCCCGGACACGCGTGCCAGGCGGCGCCCGGAGAGGAGCTGCACTGTGGGGCCAGCCCCGGGGTGGGCTGGCCGAGGGCACGGCTCATCGGGAGGAGCGGGGAGGGGGCAGAGCCCCGTGGCCAGTGCTCGAGGGGACCCGGGTGCCGGCAGGGGAGAGGGGGGCAGGGGACAGGGAAGAAGACAGCACAGGGCCCCGCACAGGAGAGGAAGGGAACAGCGGAACACAGCAATGGCTGGTCCGTTTGAGCTGCAGGGACCCCTCCCTCCTCCTTTGCACAGACGGAATCCGAGGCTCAGAGGCTGAATCATCTGTCTAGACCAGGACACAGGGTGGGGCCTCCAGCATCCGGCCTCCGGCCCCAGACACACATTCTTCCGAAGCTCACTCCCTCTGGGACCCACTGAGGGATGAAGGCAGAAAGAACAGCAGGGGAGGGCGGAGCAGGTGGCAGCAAGGAGGGACACGGCCTCTCTCTGCGGCCTCTCTCTGCGGTCCTCCAGCTCCACCCCCCCCCCCCCCCCCCCCCCCGCTCCCTCTGCAGCCTGGCAGGCCCAAAGCAGACAGCTTGGACTCAAGGCTCCTGCCCCGCCCCCAGACCCCAGACCCCAGTAGAAACCTCCAGTCTGCCCCTGGCACCGAAGCCAGAGGCTTCCAGTGCCCAGGCCTCCCTGCCCTTCGCACTGCTGTGCCTGGTGAGCCGGAACAAACAAATCCCTCCCCTGAGCTCCCACGCCCAAGCTGGTTAGACAAGAACTCCAGCCAGGCCAGGGGCTGCTCAGGAGGCCATGCGTGATCTAAGAAGCACAAGGTGAAGCCAGCCCAGGAAGACCAATCTGTGAGACTCTGTGTCCACTAACCAGGAAAAACAGAAAGCAGGAAGGGGCACTGTGGCTCAAGCAGTAAAGGACCAGCCTAGAGTAAGAAACTACATCCTGAGCTCAAGCCCCAACACCACTCCAAGAATCAAATCAAGTCAGACCTTTAAGAAAGAGGGGCAAACCCGAGGGAACATTTGGACCCCCGGCCCCCGAGGAGCTGGTGGGTGCTCGTGTTTGGGGTGTGACACCAGTCCTAAGTCCCAGGATGGCCCTGCTTGGGACCACACAGCCACGTGCATGTGGACACGGGCACACACATGACATACCCATGTGACAGGGTGTGCAGAAAACACGGGCGGCCAACAGGCCTGCCTGTGTGAAGGAATGTTGAGGTGGCCAGTGGGGTGCAGACCAGGTCAGGACGCTGCGGGGGCAGTGGGGTGCAGACCAGGTCAGGACGCTGCCCCCAGGGACACCCAGCTGGCACGCCAGGGTCGGTCCCGTCCACACCGCAGACACCGGGGAAGGCTGTGGGCAGATGCTGGCGAGATCCGCTTCTGGAGCTGCGTGGGCAGAGAGCCCTGGGCTGGTCCCTCACTTCCTGCTGTGCTGTCCTGAGGCGAATCACACACCTGTGCCCCACGGGGGTCACGCCTTCCAGTGTCAGGACCCAGGACAGAAACCATTCTGCGCACACGCACACACACACACACATGCACACACACACACGCATACACACACATACACGCACACACGTGCGCACACGCATACACACACATACGCACGCACACATGCTGACATTTGTCCAGGTGTCTGTTGTCCTACAGAGAGCTCCTGGTTCACACACACACACACACACTCACACACACATGTACACACACATATGCACGCGTACACACACGCACACACACACACACACACTCACACACCTGTCCAGGTGTCTGTTGTCCTACATAGGGCTCCTGGTTTAGTCCAATGGGCTCCTCCCCAGCCCTCCCCCATCCCTCCATCTCCACACTGACCAGCCCTCCCCTATCCCTCCATCTCCACACTGACCAGCCCTCCCCCATCCCCTCCATCTCCACACTGGCCAGTCCTCCTCTGGCTTCCCTGCCCCTCCCTCCTCCTCTACCTAGCAGCACCTGAGGCTCCTGACCCCCCATCCTGCCCAATGGTCCAGTCTGGAAGCACCTGGCCCCCACAGGGTCTGGGAGCTGCTGCTGCAGCCCAAGCCAGACTCGGGGCAAGAGGCCATGCAGAACACCAAAGAAGACTTCGCCCGGAGGTGGGAAGGAAAAACATCCCAGGCTGCGCGTAGAGGAAGATGGGAGGGGGTACTGGGGCACTGCTGCCCGGAGTTCTAGGGAGTTCTGCAGCCCTTGGTGGGCACCTGGGGCTCCGCGTTGCCCTGCAGCCCAGACTGGCATCCCCATCATTTTCCTCTTGCCAAACAGGCTTGTGAGTGGATTTACATTTGATACGAACCATGCCAGATCAGCCAGCAAATTCCCCAGCTGGGCTCGGGGGTCCGACCCACGGTCGGGTCTCTAGAGGCACGCGATCTGTCCTGCCTGACCCTCAGGATGGGGTGCCAGTGAGAGCACCACTGTGGGGGTCCTGTGGTCTGTCAGGACCTTCCCCTGAAGTCTGTCAGAGCCCTAAACTCAACCCTGCCGGCGCAGCCCTCCTGCTGCCCGAGGGCCGGGCTCTGGGCCAGTCCTGCCCGCTGGCTGTCCGTGGAAGGAGAGAGAGCAGCTGGGACATGTCCATCCTGGGCACCCCGTCAGCCAAGAACGCTGAGGGGAGAGAAGGCACCCACCGGATGAGGCCAAAGGAGCAGTGAGGGCTAGGGTTTGTCTCAGCCACGGAGCACCTTCCCAGCGGGCAAGGCCCAGGCTCCATCCTCAGCCCCACCAAAACTAAGTCAGAGAAACACATCATTTTAAGAAACAAGGAAACGCGCGTGAGGCCGCCAGCCTGGGTGAGAACCACCCCACACCCGATGGTATGTGCAAGGCCCAGCACGCCTCATTCCGAACCTATATCCTGTGCTAGGAAAGTCGGAGCCATGCTGAGCCAGCGCAGTAGGGTCCCAGGACCCCAGGCAGCCGTGAGCTCCCCAGAGTTTGACTGTGGCCGGTATAATGGAATACAACCGTGTGTCACAACCATGCAACAGCGCAGCAGCACAATGCAACCGTGCAACACAGTAGTGCAGTTCAGTACAACGCAACGGTGCAACCCAATAACATAATGCAACGATGCAACAGTGCGATGCAACAGTACCACGCAACCGTGCAATGCAACCGTGCAATGCAACAGTACCACGCAACGGTACAATGCAACCTGCAACGCAACAGCACAACACAACCGTACCATGCAACCTGCAACGCAACAGTGCAACGCAGCCGTGGAACAAAACAGTGCAATGCAACCGTGCAACGCGACCGTGCAAAGTTCCGGAGACACCTCCAGGACAGGAAGGGGCGGGCGGCCCCGCGGAGGTCCCTCCCTCCCGACCGCAGAGAAGGGGGGGCCGGGCCGCGAGGCTGTGGACCAGCGCAGCGGCCGGCGGCAGGGCCCGGACGTCCGCACACCG